TAAAACAACAACATGCTTCCTGGCCAGATAATCTATGGCCAACTGTCTGCTAACCACCCTGACTAAGAAAAGTGATACTTACAGAATATTGTTTGAAGGTTAAACAGTCCATCCACTTCTCTAAGTACTCTAAAGTTTTTCCTTGGATTAAACTGGGCCATGAGAAAGCTACATACTTGGACCATATTAGTTTAGCGCCTTGAAGAATTGCCTTCACTGAGTTGTATGTTAATATAATGCCTTCAGCTTTTATTGAAGGGGACTACAAGAAACATCAATATGAAATTCATTACTGAGTTTACTGGGAAAAATTTGACATCACTTGCTACAGTAACCAGTTTTCCCTATGATAAACCCCACGTGGCATTTTGATTTTAAAAAAGCAATTTCAGGATAAGAAAAAGCTTTTATCTGAGAAAATTTGTTATCATTATTTGATTAATAAAAAAATAATTCCCCCCATGTGTTACATTTGTTACCAAGAAGCTTAGAAATTGAAACTCTACTACTATAGCTGTGGACTGCAAGCTAATGTTGGCCCAATGGTGGATATGTCGGAACCTACTTTCCTTCATCCTAGTTTTCTATTTCTATTTTAGTTAATTATAGTTTAAAAACATGCATTCTTTGTTAAACTGCCTGAAATTCTTTTGGAACAAGACAAGATGTTTAAAATGGAAATAAATAAATAAATACACTTGAAAAATGTGATGTTTTCTATGAATTAAAGTGACTCAGAAAACAATGGCACATTCCAAAAGAGTTTGGATAGTATGTTGATATGTCGGTATCGCCGGTAATTTTTTATCTCTGTATTCCATATTTTTCTTACCCAGTTTAGAATTACTGCCCCAGATTTATGGAAGCAATCTTAAGAAATTAAAGTTAATGAATTTTAAAAAAACTATAACTCAATTAAGCTATGTGCCAGATGCTGTGCTAGAGCAGATACAATAATTAATAAAACAAAACTTATTTTCCCTCATATATTGTAACCTAGTGATAGAAAATGATTCACTGACAATAAAACTAGAGATTAATGAGATGTTATAAAAGGAATTTGTGCCAAGTGCTGTGGAAATACAATGGGAGATCTCTATTATATTAGTCTGGAAAGTTTTGAGGTTAAATAATATCAGATAGATCTTAAGGAATAAAAAGGAATTTGGTATTCAAGGAAGGAAAGAGAGAAGATTATTGCAAGAGGGCTCAGGGTCTTAATATATGCAAAATACTGTGCAAAGGACAAAGAAATAATTTATTAAAATCAACATCATTATCCTTATTATGATTGGTGAAGGAGCTAAAAATAATATGCAATTACAAACTATGGTAAGGGGTCTACTGAAAACTTGAGGGCAGCGTACATACTTGCCACGAGGTCCTAATTATTTTTGGACTACTGGTGCTGAGAAATTTCCTGAGGAATTGACATATGGGCTAGGGATGAGCTGGTTGGGAATAGCAAATGGCTGGACAGTATGCTTATTGATGCAGATAATCCTCAAAATATTGTCAGCAATATTCTTAAATAGGGGACCTCACAGTAAAAAGTAAAGCTTAAGCAGCATCAAAGAAAGCTGAAAGGACTGTCTTTGGGAATAAATAGGAACATATGCTAGAAAGGCTGGATCCACCGTGAACTCTGGCAGAGAATATGAAAACACAGAATGAATTATGGCAGCTTCCAGGATATGAGGGAAGGAAGCTAGTATTCTGAATTCTGTTTTAAGAAGACAAAAAGTTTCAGGGCTGCCCCTGAAATAGAGTCCTAGGGCATAACAGCAGAAAGGTTGATAAGATCCCTAGAGAAAAATGGAAAATTATCCAGACTTAAATATGGAGGCTACTTGTGCCCCTCAGTTACAGGATAGTAAATGGGGGAAAATCAGATTACAGTAGACTAAGAATTAAACTGAAAGTAGGCAATTTTTTTTCAAAGTTTGAGTGGAGAAATGAAGGTAGAATCTTAGGAGGGAGTGCTGTTGTTGATTTTATGGAAAATTAAGCATGTTAAGCATTTTCATAGGCTAAAAGAAAGACATAAAATGGAAAAGATTATTTTGATGAAATAAGAGAAAAAAAACAATAACTGATGGAACAAGTTTGATAAAAATCACAGACAGAAAAGATTGAAAAGCTGGAAGGGTAGAATTAGTCTTGGACTAAAGAAGGAAAATTGTATGTGAAGGAAGATTCTAGAAGTATTTGGAAATTGCATAGAGAGGTACTTTTGTATACAGAAGGGCATAAAAATTTAGAGTTGGATTCTTTCATCCAGCAATACAGATTTAAATTGATCAAGTATTATTGTTCAGTTTCACAAACGAGGCTAAAAATAGTATAAAGTCCTTTCCACACTAAGAGAGCAAGGTAGACTCTATTTTCTAATACAGGGCTCAAAAGAAACTTGAACATAAAGGAGTGAACCTGCTAAACCTGCTAGTTTAGTTGCAAAAAACATCTATAAAAATCAACATGACACAATCTACAAGCAAACAGTGGATTGTTAAATCCATGTTTAAATATGTTAAAAATATATTTACTGTTTATAAAAATACACAATCAATTTATAGCTCTGAGAAGTGTGTGTGTGTGTGTGTATATGTATATATATATATATTTAGGGGGTAGTATTGGGTATTGAACCTAGGGTGCTTGGCCATTGAGCGATATCTCCAGATCTTTTTATTTTTCATTTTGAGACATAAGCTCACCAAGTTGTTGAGGGCCTTACTAAGCTGAGACCAGCCTCAAATTTGTGATCCTCCTGCTTCAGGCTCCTAAATCAATGGGATTACAGGTGTGTACCAGCAAACCCATCTCTGAGTAGTTTTCTTTGTGAGATCAATTGATACTTGCTATTTTACAAATTTTAAGTTTTCTTATGCTCTCTTTATTGACATATAATTTAATTGTATCTACTTATGTTCACAAAAGCAAAAGACTTCCTTCAGACATGTTAGTCTAAAAGGATACCAATAATGGGCCAGGTACAAAACTCTTTAAATCAGAGGTAGACTGCATTGAAATTTCTTTTTGGCAGATAGGCCATCTTTAGGACTTCTAATTAATTTCCTCTCAGTTCTAAGAACCTGTTTTTTTTCCTAAGGTAAGTTTAGGAAATATCTCTCAAAATTCATGTGCATCATGAAATTGGATAGAGTACCCACTTTTAAATTCACTGTTGTAAAATGTTTAAAACATTTTCATGAAGGCAAAGGAGTCCTCTCATTGGATTTAAGATCAGAAATTCATTTATTCAACAAATATTTTTGAAGTGTCTCAGTGTCAGGCACTGTGTTAGTCACTCTACCTGAGGAGAAGCCAATACAAACAAGCAACATGCCTGATGTGTTATTCTAAGTAAACCTCAGAACTAAAGTAATGATGTTAGTTGCTTTCTTCAATATTAGATTGGAACATCAACAATTTCAACACAGATTTATCTTGTCTATGTGGACAGACAAATCCAGTATTGGTTAGTACTAGGTTATTGCATTTAAAAATTATTAAGAAGTTTTTTTTTTAATTTATCAGGACTTCAGTTTTCAATTAAAAGAGTTGAGAAGGTAATTATTTGATAGGCTAATCAAAATGTCAACTTGATTGGCACCACCAAGTATTGAAAATAATACACCAAATAAAATCTTACAACAAAACTTTATAATTTATCTTTTGTAACATATTTATATTCTATCTTAAAATGTTAGTACAAAAGAGCATGTGTGACTAATGCAGCTAAAAAGAAGTAATTGCATAGATAAAATGAAAAGTTTTACACTATATGGGAAATGAAAACATAAATCAACCATAAAATGTAATAGAAATGCTGAAATAGCCTAGAAGTTAAGCATAGAAAATTGATCAGATACTTTTTAATATGTATTAATTGTATCTGTTAGTAGGCCAGAAGAAGAGTTGATAAAATGAAATAAAGCAACACTCTGTAAAACTTCTATAGATGATGAAATTTAGGACAAAGAAGCAAGACTTTTCAACTAAAACAATCATTATATGTATGTTTAAAGGGCTTTATGTGATAGAAATGAAAAAATATACATTCAAATAATTAAAGAAGAAATAAAATCAGCAAATGTTATTCTAAATTTAAAGAAATAAATTTAGTAAACATAGAGTTGAAGGAAATTCTCCAAGTAGAAGTCTCTACTATTATTAAGAACATTTTATGTCTTATTATAATCCAAAGCCTTCTCTTAAGGAAACAATTATTGTATCAAAGAACAAAATACCCACTAGCTTCATTACTTGCAACCTAAAATATGGAAACGAATAATATTAAAATAAGTTAATTTTAAAAGCAAATAACTTTTCCCATTTAGACTATATGAGCAATTTAAATTCCTAGGTATTCTAGCACCTACATATTTATTCCACAAAGTATGGGGAAGATATGAATTCTATTTGGGCTTTTACAACCAAGTGACAAAGATGGGAAGAGGTGAAGGATACTCATCCCATTGATAGAACCTGGAATTCTATTACAGTGAAGTTAGTTCCCATTTTCTTTTCACAATCTCTCCCCTTATTCAGTGTAGCGATTTAACAGCATGAACTTGATGGTCAAATAGACAGATCTGGATTCGAGTACACTTACTAACCAGCTGTGTGAGCATGGTCAAGTAAATAACTTTACTAAGCTTCAGATTCTTCATCAGTAAAAAATGAGAATTAAGGAAAGACCCTACTTTTAAGATGGCTGTAAAGATTATGTTGAGAGAGCATATGTGAAATCTTAGCACAGTGTCTGACACATAGAGCTCAACAGACGCTGGAGAGTGGTTTTAACAAGTGTTACTACTGCTATAGGCACTCCTAAAGGATTTCAGGCAAGAAAATACTTTGGTAAACACTGATATGATACACAACCATATATGAATCATATACATATATGAATTTCCTTAATGTCAAATTAATATCTGCCACAAGGCCGATGTGTTAGGGGATTCTATTAAGGTCAGAATGGAGTTCTCACTTACCTTGTCATTTACTACACTCTTCCCATCCCAAGCCCATCCTCTTTTGGTGAAATAATTAACAGTTGCAAATTCAATTAGGGCAGAGAACACAAAAGCATAACAAACAGCAATAAACCAGTCCATGGCAGTAGCATAAGCCACTTTGGGGAGAGAATTTCGAGCACTGATGCTCAGAGTTGTCATTGTCAGAACAGTTGTTACTCCTGCAAAAGAAAAGATGGAAACCAAAACATCGATAGGTATTAGCAAGAGAGTGTTAGAACCAGTTGTTCGTTTTTATATTGTTTCTTTTCCTAAGAGCTATCTTTGGATGCCATTTTAATTTCCCCAAAATTACCTAGTTTAAGAAAACAGTGCAACAGTGTTTAAATAGTTTTAGTTTTTGAAGTAATGACTCCTGAACATGCCTTCAATTTTCATTATTTTTCTGTATAAATTATCTTTGTTTTGTTTTGTTTTGTTTTGTTTTTAGCTAGTTTAGGTTAAAGAGACTGACAACAGTGACATAGAACCTTCGAGGAAAACTCGGCACTTTAAATTGACCCATTGCTCATTAACATAAATTAAAAAATGGACACACAACTCGCATTAATTTGTTCATCAACTGTTGGAACCATTCTAAGAGATGAGCCAATCACACACACACACACACACACACACACACACACACACACACACACGCAGGAATTATGATTAAGTTCTTCATTCAAGTATGACTAAATAATTATGAAATTAATTCTGGGTTGCTCAGCGTTATGAGAATAGTTGTTTTTCTTATTGTAGCTTAGAATATACATGAAATAAAACAAGGCTCTCAAAATAAAAGATTATAAAATATATACCTATTTTCAAAGAATACTTTATATCCTTGTTGGTTTAAAATAAAATCTCATTCAGTTTCTAGTTTTTCTGCCTATGGTCAGGACAGTCACACTTGTTAAAATAAAGGAAGGTGGTGACTCAGGACGTAAGTTGTGCTATCAGCACTGAAGACAGCCACAATCACCCATTTTATTAGAGGTCCCATAGACTGATGAGATGTTTACTTTTGAGACTTTTGTACAGAAGATAAATATGAGACATATACACGTATATACACATATGTAAATAGATGACAGAATTTTATATGTACACATATGAGAAAGGTTACTTATTATGTGAAAATGTACTTAAATTCACCATCAGCCAAGGAAATGCAAAGCAATAATGAGATACTTTAAAAAAAAACTATTATCATCAAAATACTAGCAAAACCGTAATGGACTGATACTGTGCTGATGTTGAGGAGAATGGAAGGCAACAAATATTCTTTTTCATAGTGATTACAAGTTGGTGTCATAGCTAACAAATTGGATATCAAATTTTGAGTATGATATAAGGTAAATATCCAATTTATTCTTTTGCATGTACCATCACTATTTATTGAAAAGGCTTGTTCCCCATCATGGGATCTCTGTTGAGAATAAATTAACTTTACTTGTATGTCTTATTTCTGGGCATTCAATTCTGACCCAATGATCTCTATATCTACCTATATACAAGTTTCACACTATTTTTGATAGTCCAGCTTTAGGTTTATTTTTCATATCAATAAGTTGAGGTCCTTTCTTATTCAACATAGTGTTCTTTTTCAAGTTTTTTTTTTTTTGGCTATTTGTAGTCACTTATATTTTCATATGATTTAAAAATCAGCTTGACCTTTTCTGCAAAAAAAAATGTTACTGGAACTTTGGTGGTTATTGCAGTTAATCTGCAGATTGCATTGGGTAAGTACTACTATCTTAAGCATATTAAGAGTTTCAAGTTTAAAACATGGGATTTTTTCCATTTAAGATAGAGAAACTAGATATATAGAAAATGTTTCCATGGTTTTTTTCATTTGGCAATATTCTGTTGCCTTCAATGTATAAAATTTTCACCTTCTTTGTTGAAGTTTTTTATAGATGTGTTATTTGCTTGGATGTTAATGCAATTGGAATGATTTGCTTAACTTTATGCTCAGATTTTTCATTGGTGATGTATATAAATACAACTGATTTTTGTATGTGCATTTTGTACCTATGATTTTTATTTTTATTTTATTTTATTTTTATAGCTCTAATATTTTTATGCTGTTTACTAAAGGAATTTCTATGTAGAAGTTCATGTCATCTGCAAATTGACTTTTACTTTGTGTGCCTTTAATTTTTTCTTTCTTTCCCAATTGCTGTGGCTATTGCCTGCAGTATAATGTTGAAAGAATGAATGAGAATAGACATTTGTATCTTGTTCTTAATGTCAAGGAGAATGTTTGTAGTCCTTCACCTATATATTTCTTAAATACCTTGTATCAAGTTGAAGAAATTCTCTTCTATTTCTAGTTTATTGGGTACATCAAAAAAAAAGAGTTGTGTATTTTATCAAAAGTTTTTCTGTTTCTGTTGAGATAATTTTCATTTTTTTCTTTCCATTTTCCAGAAAACAATGTTGAATTACATTGATTAATTTTTATATTTCAAACCAATCGTGCATTCTTGCAGTAAATCCTACATGCATATGATATGTAATACTTTTTATTTTTAAATTTATTTATTGTTTCCTTCTAGTTATATATAACAATAGGATTCATTTTGACATAATTATAAAAGAATGGAATATAATTTATTCTTATTCAGTCTGCAGTAATTCCCTTCCCCTCTGTTACTTCCTACCCCTGTTCTCTTCCCTCTGATCTATGGATCTTTCTGCTATTTACTTACCATTTTATTATTTCTTAATTAGTATTTTGTGGATTAACTTGATGTTGAGATTCACTGTGGTGTATTCATATATGAACATAGAAATGATAGGTCCGGTTCATTCCGCTGTCTTTCCCTATCCCATCCCTCCTCTCTTCCCTTCATTCCCTTTTGTCTACACCACTGTGTGTGTAACCCTTTTTAAATGTGTCTGGCCTCACTTTGTTTATATTCTGTTGAGGATATTTGTGTTTTTATTCCCAAGGAATATTAATCTGTGTTTATTTTCTTCCTGATGATTTCTTCCTCTGGTATCTTCATAATATGGCATAGAACTATTGAATGCCCTTGTTATTGTTTCCCTGTAAGTTGAGTTGTAATGTTCCCTCTTGTTTTCCTGGTTTTCGAAATTCAAGTCTTCTTCTTCCTTCTTTACTTACTTATTTATTTTTGTACCAGGGATCCAACTCAGAAGCCCTTAATCACTGAGCCACACCCCAGCCCTTTTTTATTTTATTTTTAATTTTTACTTTGATACAGATTCTTGCTAAGCTGCTTAGGGCTTTGCTACGTTGCTGAGGCTGGCTTTGTACTTGTGATCCTCTTGCCTCAGCCTCCTGAGCCATTGTCGTCATCTCCTCCTCCTCCTCTTCCTTCTTTTCTTACTCTTTCTAATTAAAGATTAGGAAATTTTGTTTATCTTTTAAAAATCAGCTATGGTTCAATATTGATATTATCTATTTTTATTTTTATTCTCTATTCCATTTATCTCTGCTCTAACATTTATTGTTTCTTGTTGCTTTGAGTTTAGTTTCCACTTTTCGACTTTTTAAGGAGGAAGGGGTTAGGTTACTGACTTGAGATCAACTTTCATTTTTTAAAAATTTTTATTTGTTCTTTTTAGTTATTCTAGAGTAGAATATATTTGCACATATCATACATACATGGAGTATAACTTCCCATCTTTGTGGTTGCACATGATGTGAAGTTACACCGGTAATGTATTCAAATATGAACATAGGAAAGTTATGTCCAGTGAATTTTCTCTATTTAACATAGGTATCCACAGGTACAAATTTCTCTTTGAAAAATGTCTGTGTCATAGTCCATAAGTTATCTTAAAGTTTTTAAATAAATTGACATATAAAATTGTATATATCCATGGGGTACTATGTGATATATGATACATATATACATTTTAAATCAAGTATTTTCTAATTATATTTATACTATATAGGTAAATACAAAAGACAATATAAATTTAATTATTATTTTAACTCCTTTTCTTCCTATCAGATTTGAAACATAGGTGCATAAGGCAGTAATTATATATCTGTATTGATATATATACAATGTATAAAGATATAAGTTGTGATATAGCAGCATAAAAGGGGGGATGGAGCTGTATAGAAGCAAAATGTTCACATATTATTAATATTTAGTCATCAATAGTGGAAGCTAGATTGTTAAAACTTTAATCTGCAAGACAAACACTAAGAAAATAATTTTAAAATATTTAGTTATAAATAATAAAAATTACATTAGTATATTTCCTGCTGCTGCTACAAAACACCTGAAACTGGACACTTTATGAAGAAAGGATTTATTTAATTCAAGATCAGGTGACCCTATCTCTTCAGACTAAGATGAAAGGACACTGATTAATTACTCAGATTCACTGGAAGAAATAAACGACAACAGTAAAGATATCTGAAGATACCCTTTAGAGTTTTTGTAGACCAGGTCTGCTAATAACAAAACTTAGTTTTTGTTTTTCTAAAGATATTTGATTTCTACATAAATTTTGAAGGATAGTTTTGATGGATATAGGATTCTTAGCAAACACTTTTCTTTTCAAGACTTTGCATATGATATCCAACTGCCTTCTGGTTTGATTCTTGAAGATTTGTTAAGGGTCAATTACATTGAGGTTGCCTTTACATAAGATGCCATTTTTGCAAAAGTGAGTTTTCTCATTTGATGCTGTAAGTCTGTATCCTTTTTAAGTTTAGGCCTCAGGAGTCTCTGTTTTGTTAGTTGAGTGATCACCTAATGACTAGACAGAATTTTCCTTAAACACCTGAGGAAAAGAAACAAACAAAAACAAAAAACCCAAGCCATTATCTTTGCAGTATAGTTCTGTGTGCAGTTCAGGCTATGTTTTCAACATTCAGCCAGGCTGCTTATAATTCTGCCTTGGTATTCACTTCCTGCTTGTATAAACCCTCAAGAACAACCAGAGGTGAGAAAATAGGGCTTACTCCGGTCTTTCCTGAAGATGCATAGAACACTAGGTTATATATGTGGCCCTATAGACTCCAAGAAATATATCAGTGCTTTTCAAAATTCTTGTGTAACATTTCATTCTCCAGCCTTTCTGACGAATTTTTGGTTAGTCTATTATTTGACCCAGATGTTGTCTGTTGCTTCAGGTACGATAAAACTAAAACATTTGTCTATAAATACTTTCGGTGAATGAGAATTCT